TTTCCACCTTTAAACACATTATTATTAAAATTAATCTAATGTAACGTGTCATTTATTGGCCCCGTCCCCTGTAGCTCCGCCCCTGAACAAATGACACTTTAAAGGAAAAACAAACAGCAGTTTTTAGAGCCAAATAGTAAAAGACACCTTTTTTTTACTACCAAAACTTTTATAAAAAGCTATTTTAGATTTTTATAAATTTGTGTAATAAACCAACAACGTTTTGCCAGCAAAGATCTGTACAAAACACTAAGACTTTTATCCAGTTTTAGACTAAATTAAATTAATAAATACAAGTAAAGAGGAGTTATTACAGTTTGGGATGAACAGAAACAACATCTGTGAATTGAAACTGGAGCTTAATTTGGTTGAATTGTTGATACAAAAAGGTAAATTGTGCTCAAACAAGCGTGAAAATAAAACTTCAGTGTGAACAAACTTATACAAATAAAAAAACACGAACAGGAGCTTTAAATCACACTTCCTCTGTTGGTTTTACTCACAGGACAGTTCAACAAACAGAGCGGACGTCCCGCCGCCGCCGCCCGGGTCAGAGCAGGTTGACCCCGTGTTTCAGCAGTCTGTGTCGGGCCTTGCCTGGCAGCGAGAAGGCGCTGTCCTGGTGGTTCGGGATGCCCGAGTTCCTCAGCGACGCCCCGTGCTGCTGGAAGAACGTCTCCTGAGCTATGCTGCGGGTCCCGTACACGGCAGCGCCGGCGCTCCTGCAGAGGAAACATCCCACACGTTTGTTAAGTCATTATTATATTTTATATTATATTCAAAAACTGTACAAAGAATCGTAAAACCGAGAGATTTGTGAATTTTGAGCCGATTATTCCTGTTTAAGGGAACTTTTTTTATCCAGTTATCTGTTTGTATTCTGTATTTTTATCATTTTTAACAATCAAACAGACTTAATAAGATTCTTTTTTGATAAATTCAGTCTTTTCTTCTCATTATTCTATCAGCTCAGTGTTTCCCAACCTTTTTCCCTACTATCAGTGAGTAAACTGACTATATTTTATGTATATTTCATATTATAATCAATAATAACAGTAGAGAACAACTAACAGTGAACACAATAACTGCAGGAAGAGATTTGGATGATTATTTCCTGTGAATATTGATCAGACATGAGTTTTCTTGATAGTTTTAGGAACCTTTTATACAATCCTCTGTCTGTATTATGTATATTTTATCATTTAAACAATCAAACAGACTTAAAAGGCTTCTTTTTTTTGACAAATTCAGTGTTTTCTTCTCATTGTTCTATCAGCTCTTTGTATTCTAATGCAGGACGAGGCCGTTAAGAGGTAGAACAAAGACCTGCAACAGAAAAGAGCAATAATAAAGACATAAAACAGTAGTTTTCCTCTCTAGTAAAGGTCAGATGTTGGGGGGTGTGTGATCAATACCAGTGATCAGGACCCCCAGCAGACTAAACGTCAGGGAGAATAAAACACTGAATTTGTCAAAAAATAAACCTTTTAAGTCCGTTTGACGTCATACAGACAAAGAATTGTATAAAAATATCAGGAAAACTCATCTCTGATCAACATTCACAGGAAATAATCTGCTCAAATCTCAGGTTTTATGCAGTTATTGTTCTGTTTGTTGTTCTCTGCTGTTAAAATCGAATATAAACTGAGAGGAAAAAGGTTGGGAACCTCTGATCTCTGCAAGTAGAGGAAACTGACAGATCCCCCCCACCACCCCCGACTACCGCTTGCATTAAAAGGCCATGAGAAACCCCCCCCCCTCCCAACCACCGAACTCCAACCACCACCTCCACGTCGCTGCCACACTGACCTGATAATAGCCTCCTGCAGAGTTTCAGTGTTACAGAAATGCGAGTGAAGAAGTGATGTGGCTCTGACAAAAGGACGCTCCGGGGCTCCCCCTGGTCCACCAGACAGGTTGGCTGCAGAGAGACACAATGAGATGAGACTCACAGCGGCACATTAAACCTGGACACGCTGCACAAAGGAATGCTGATCACAGCCCTTTTACTAATTAGCCATTAGCTCATGCAAACACCAGGTAGAGATGGTCGGAGCAGGAGAGCTTAAACTCGCTCTCGGAGAGACAGAATTAAATCAGAGAGCATTGTGGGAGCCTCACTTGTCAGCGTGCTCTGAATGCAGTCGAAATGGGAGAAGAAGTATGGTCCTGGAGGTCCCGGAGGCCCCGGAGAGATGGTCCTCAGATGGGCTTCCAGTCCATTGAGTGACGCCAGGCTGCTGTGATACTGGACACAGAACGTTTAATAGCATCACAAAGAGACGTTAGAGCGCTAATGTACAGCCGGGCATCGTCTGCGTGTGGGTGAATATATGGCCTCAATAAAACATCTAAAATACACTGTAATTACAACTGTAATTAAAATAACACATTTTAAATACATACTGCCATTTAAAATAATTAATTTTAAAGAAGTGTTTGGATTTAGTGACATCTAGTGGTGAAGTTGCAGATTGCAGAGTACAGTTTTTAGCTTATAGAAACGTGACGGTTTAACCTCTGTAAATAAAAACAGCTCATTCTAAGGTGATAAAAACACAATGATGGAGTTTTTTTGGACAATGTTTAACCTTACTAATTAAAATGTGCTCAATGTTTTCTTACTTTTAGACTTAATTTAATTGAATATGTTGGAGACATTTTAAAATGAAGTTAAAAAAAAACAAAACTGAAGATCTAGAAAAAAACAATTTATTGATTTCTAATGCCACTTTTAAATATTTATATTCAGTGCTTTATTGATAATATGTGATTAGAGGATCAGTGTGTAGGATTTAGTGGCCTCTAGTGGTGAAGTTGCAGATTGCAACTCACTCGTTTCACCCTTTCTCAGCACGAGGGAGAAACTACAGCAGTAAGTTTCATCATGTTTACATTACACTAATGAAAACATACCAATAAGTATTCTATTTCTGACAATAGATCTTCCTAAATGTTTCACACTGGCCCTTTAAATATTGGCCAAACTTTACAGCCGACCTAATCAATAGACCTTTTTTACAGCAGCATGTTATAGTAGGGTAAACACAGGTGTTACCAATGACACTAATTAAGGTTCAGTTCCATAACTTCTTATTCTATTCAGATGAATGCTGGATGTTTAAATCATTCATAAGTGGCGTTATTGATAATTTCTTCCTCCACCAGTGGCGTCATTGTTTAGTCAGAAAAACGCTGATTAACCTCGGAGGCATTCGATTTAATGGATCGGACAATTTAGAACCAATTCTAGATTCCCATCCTGAACCTGGACTGGAAAGTGATTGTTTATTTTTCTTAAATTTGTTTGTCAGTTTTCACATAAAAGTTTGATTGATTGATTGATTGATTGATTGAAACGCCAAACTTATGTCATTAACATCGAGAAATAAACATTCTGGACAAATTTAAAGCAAAAAAAGGTTTAAAACAAGCAGCTGAACATGTTTCATCTACATTTCCTGTTTTTTAAGAACATTTTAAATTTATATAATCTCACCACTTCCTCCATCGCCGCCGTGTCGCTCAGGAAGTGCAGCTCCACCAGCAGAGCCAGAACCAGGCCTTTAACCCGGTGCATGTACAGCGTCATGGGGACCAGCGGACTCTCCTCCGGGTTGCCCAAAGCACGAGAGCGAGGAAGAGGAGGAGGAGGAGGAGGAGGAGGGTCTCCAGCGCTCCCACAGCCACCTCTTCCTCTGCAGGCCTCCTCCTGATCCTCATCGGCACGCGACTCCTCGTTCCCGGACCGAGACTCTCTGAAGTCAAACACCGTCCCACAAGCCGCGTCTCCTCCTCTTCCTCCGTTCAGAGGGGAGTCTTCCTCAAACACCGAGGTGTCTCCTCCTCCGTCTCCTCCTCCTCCTCCTCCTCCTCCGTTGCTGTGAAAGCTGTGATAATACGACTCCTCCAGCGCCTCCTCCTCAGCTTCGTGGGAGTGTTTCCCGTTTGAGAAAGGAGGCTCCAGCGACTGCGATGGAACGGGACTGAACGTGGAGTCGGGACTGAAGGAGACCTTCTGGGGGGACTGAGAGGAACCCGGATCGGACTGCTCCGAATCAGTGGAGGCCATGTCGGATAAGGTTCTTGACAGGCGGGTCTTTCTCGGAGGGACTGTGTCTTTGTGTGGAGTCGAATGGGAGCTGAGGGAAGAGAACAGTTTAATTTAACCCTTTAAGATCTCATCCTCAGTTATATTGTTCCCATATTTAACAATTTATGCTAAACAATTGCGGTACCGAGGTGATTTAAGGAGTTTTTAACTGTGTAAATTATACCGCCTGGAAACAAATGAAGCTACCTGAAGTCTTTGTCGACGGGGGCGGACTGCAGGTACTGAAGTTCGGACAGGGTCAGGAACACGGTGGTGGAGCTGACGGCACCTCCAGACGGGCTGGAGCTACTCTGTCCGTTGGACCTCGGAGCCTAAAAACAGAATTAAATGACGTAGTGTTGTTAACATCGCACCCGGTTCCTTCAACTAAAAGCTAAAACTGTGAGAAAATGAGAAAATCACAAATAAACACCAATTTTATGATTTTTGAAGCGTAAATGGGATTAAAATGTTGTGTTTTATGTGTTTTTTTAAGGCATCTGAGGCCTGGATGTAGTGAAAAATAAAAGCTGTTTATAGTTTCTTCATCAGGAACTGTTACTGTGAGTAAACAGCTGTGTAATATTAAAGGCTTGTAAAACACTTCACCCTTCACTCAAGATTTTACAGTTTTAATCTGTTTTTTGCTCCATAAAACGGTAAAAATGTTAATTAATGTCCTTAAATATCTTGTTTCGGTCGTTTGGGATAATCTATCGTCTTACCTTTGTGTAAGTTTCACTCTCATGAACCATCACCTTCATCGTGAGCTCTGGAAACATCTGTGTGCTCACAACTCTGCAGAGAATAAAAACCACATTTTAAAGTCTTTTTATTTACATTATATTACATAAATATATATTATTATGTCCTGAGAGGTGTGAGCTGACCTTCCTCTGAAGAGGATGCAGCCGGCTAACACCAGAGGGCAGCGCTGGCAGGCCTGAAGAATGAGGGCGGCCTTCAGCAGCAGGAGTGGATCGACCTGAAGGACCAAACAAAACCTGATAAATACAGTTTATAAAAGGCCATAAAAACATCAGCGCAAAGACATTTAAAAGATGTTGGAATATAATGTTTGTAAGATGTAATTTGACCAACAGTAGCAGCTTGTATTCCGACCTTTAAAGGTGACATAACGCCTCTAGCTTTAATTAATATGCAGAAATTTGTGTGTTTGAGGAGTTTCACAACAG